AAGACGGCAGCGTCCTAAAAAACCCATAAAACTCTCTCGCGACAATTTACGAGCCGAGAGGGTCGCGGTCGCCCTCGCCCGAGCCTTTGGATGACGTGAGCCTTGCTATGCGTATATTCTTACGGGTCTTGGGGCTCATATCTTAATGCACATAGTTCCGTATGGCAGAAATACGTCCTATTCTACGGCAGTAAACTTTAACTACGTCACGACTGATCAAAAGGCAACCATCCAGAGTCAGCTGGGAACTCATTTCACCGAAAAAAAAAAAAAAAAAAAAAAAAAAAAAAAACTCGGGGGCCCAGATGGTTCATGCCTTCGGTCTTACCCTCTCAGTTCTTGAAACAAATTTACGACCTGGGGGTTGGTCGCGGAGCGGCCAGGGGGCGTAGCCCCCTAGTTAGATAATAATAAGCTAATAGCAGGCTAACATCAGTCTTATATATTGTAAACAAAGTATACTGTTCACTAGACAGTATACATGTTAGAGTGGTGGTGGAACCCTGAGCAAAATTGTTTAAGTAAATGTTAGGCGACTGTTTGAATCTCACACATTGTGCCATTCTCTTCTTTGAATTTTAACCCTGAGACCATTAACTGGTACCGGCATGAACAAAATTCGAAACTCCAAATCCGTCATATTTTCTGGTGGTTTTTCGGTGCTGGAAAAAGTGTAGTGCAATAGCGTATTTGCTATAATTAATTTCATTGACCGCATAGCGTATTTGTATCCTGCAAAATCAAAAAGTAACATGAGAAATTGAAAAATACATTCAAATATTCCCTTCCTCATATTCATATTATGGGCTATGTTTTTGTGCTTTATCCTTGCCTAAAATTATATGTAAACCAGGGGGCCTGTTAATAAAATGAAAATGAATAAAATCAAATATCGACGCATGCAGCCATGCACTCGGAAAAAAGTGCTCTTGTCTCCGACTGCAAAGTTGCACATCTCTTGCTCATCTTCATTTTTAATCAATTTTTTTTACAAAAAGCTACACACAGATTTTTAGAAATTCCCGAGATATTTCCGGAATGATTTAAAATAAAATCACAAAAAATTTCGACACGATATTTTCGTTTGTTCTTTTTTTCCTTTTATTAAACCGAAATTAATTTTACGCGAATCAATTTCCAGAATTGCTGCATCGTCCAAGTTTCTGAATTGTTGCAATTAAGATATACATTTACCCTTTAATTGTAGTAAGAACTGAGCAGGGGCCGTCAAAAGAAATGACGCGTGGTCCTAGTTTTGCGGCGATTTTAGCGTCGCGCAAAGTAGGGAAGGGAGCGCGGTCAAGTGTCGAATCATCTTCACGGTGTGAAGCGCCTTCAATCCAGTTGGCGTCAATTTGTGCCTATACTCTTAATCGAATAATTATTGCAAATCTCTCGCGCAATGCGTTTGGTGCAATGCGAGAAGTATTCATGCAGTCTTGTAGGCGCTAATATGCGTTTGAATCCGACTGTGCTATTTGGCGTAGTGCATGAAGTATTCTTACAGCCTTGCAGGCGCTGATATGAGCGTGGCACTGATCGTGCCGTGTTTGGTGTGACTATCCGAACTCGCGTTAGGATAATCGCGGCATGGAATAATGGAGCTTGAAAGGCCCGTGTTGTGTTTTATATATGTATTATATTATGTTAACAATATGTATATTCAAAATAAAACTTTGAACAGCTTACCAGGACAGACTCTCGGGCCGCTTAAAAACGGGACAAATGCTCCTTTAGGCCGCTTACTCTCGAGGTCGGGAGAAAAATGTTCTGGGTAGAACTTATTTGGTTTCTGCCAATATTCAGGATCGTGGTGCATCAAGTAAAGGAACATGAACACCTCTATCCCAGCCGGTATCGTCAAATTTTCTGAAATTAAGGACATCGATTGAGACATCTGTCGTGCCAAGGAATAACGCCGTATGAACCTTTAGGCGTTTCTAAATTTCCTTTGATAAAACACAAATTTTCTTGTAAACTTATGAATACTTTTCCTTCCAATTTTGCAGAGAATTTTGTTCCTAATTTAATCTAAAATATCTGAAAATTTCAAGTTAAAATATGCACAACATTCCTCAGAAATGAACGTATTTCTATCAACGGAACTATGTGCATTATGACTTGAGCCCTGTTATGCACATATCTTTGTGGGTCTCAGGGCTCATGTCTTAATGCACATAGTTTTGATTTGCAGAAATACGTCCAAATAAAGATTATAGGCGGTGAAATTTGGTAACGCTCGAATGTTTATACGGCGTTTTACCTTAACAAGGCAGTACCTACGTCGCTGTCGTCAACATATGAGGGGCTTGGAGGACAAGGCACAAAAGTGCATTTTTGCTATTTCAAGAAATAGGTGTTTGAAGTTTCGAAATTACATGGATTCGTATGGCGGAAAAAAAGTTCAAACTGACTTTTTGATGCTTAAACATTGGAATTTGGTAGCGAATTTTCCACAGAATATGCGTGAAGACTAGTTTTACTTGGTTTCATTAATATCTCAATTTTTTCAAAAACTGCACTTATGCGCTTTGTCCTCCAATCCCCGCATATTGGATTTCGAAAATTTATTCATCGATGACGTCATCCGTGCACTCGTGACTCATCAGATGACTTTTTATTTTTGATGTCAGGCTATCAAAAAATCATACCATTGACTTTGAGATCTTCGGTGATTTTCCGTCCTGTGAACGGAGGTCCGTAATGCCGAAGGGTTTCTTTGATGACCATCTCGAGGTAAACCAACTTATGTAGATCTTCTGGAGTAACCTGCTCCCCATCGCATTTCTCATCGATCTCTTTACACACCCGTTCTTGAACTTCTGGAAACATTGCTAACAACTTGAAGACCCACGCTGTCGTATTAGCCGTGGTTATGGAGCCCTATATAAATGAAAATATTTCGAACTAAATTAACATGGACATAACATTGATTGCATTTTGCAGAAAGGAACCAAGAGCGTTCCAATGTTGCAAGGATTTTGCACTTTACATACTTTGCAATAAAATGATTTGTGTCGTGCAATGTATTTGCTCCCTATCTTTACATGGAGAGTTTGTCTTGATGTAGAGGTGGACTCTCAGGATAGCGTGGGATATCCCCTCCATTTTAGCCTCAACTTGAGAGCTTTTTTTGAGCTTGGGATTTGATTACAGGGAAAACCAGTGGCACCATCGTGTTTCTCGCGAACTTTTGCATAAGAATCAACAGTCAAATCGCAAATTCCTCACACATGCAACATCTCCATTTGGACGGAGTTAAACAGAAAGGAACCAAGCCACATCGGAATCGAACCGAGAAAAAGAGGTTTAAAGTTTGGCTCCTGCATAAGACTCAATGTGAAAGATAAACTCAAGTTCAATTGCTGCAAAATTTGCTCGAACAAAAACTTTGAATCCTTGGCGATAGATAACAGAGCAGTGGTTGAGTTCAAAACCACTCATAACTCAATTTTTTCCAAAATGCTGACTGGTTCCTTTCTGCTTAACTCAGCCCATTTTTCCCCTTTTATGTCCTGATTACTGATTCTGGAACTGATTGTTTTGTCAATCGCAACAGTCAAATCGCAAATTCCTCACACATTCAACATCGATCTCCATTCGGGCATTAATACTGTTGTTGACATTACGATATAACGATCAGACATGGTACAGCTAGGGTGCGGCTTATAGAGGAAATTAAAAATGATGAATTTTAAAATTGACAAGAGACCCCGCCAAAACGTTCCTACTAGTGTAAAAACAAACGTTGTAGAACAGTTTTGCATTTGGTCAACATTTAGAGGTTGCGACGGGCCTTTAAAGTTGCCAAATTTGGCTAATTTTCGCATTTTTTCGTCAATTTTGGCAAATTTTCCCAGGCCTTACTGAGAGTTCTAATCGGTCAATTTATTCATAAATGGGCAGTACATAACGTAAAATGCACCCCATCCTCCACCTTAAACCCCCCAGCCCCCCTCAACCCTCCTCCCTCACCGATCCAATATAAATACACTCTTTTTAAACTACGCTATTTTGGTAGTGACCAGAGATCTAAAGTAACACTGGTCAACACGGGTTCAAGTGTGATTGTACTAGGGTAGTTTTTAGCGCTGAGTCCGAAAATGACCTCCGTTATGCTAGGTCTGGTCGATTTCCCCCGGAAAAATCAGGATTTTCCGGTGAAAAACCAATTTTCCGGAAAATCTGTGCATGATGGAGGAAAAATAAGGTCATTTTCGGATTCAGCAGCTAAAATTACATGGGAAACCATACATTGCATGCCTATTGAAGTTTCCGTTCTGTTCCAAATATCGAGGTTTTTCCGGACAAGTGCCCCTCTCCGCCCATGTAACGCATGTAACACTAGTCCGATTGATTTGCGTCGGAAAGGAGGGAAAATATTTTTTCTTAGGCGACAGGTGGAGTTGACTGCACTAAATTTTTGCCGCTGTAGCCGAAAATGACCCTAGTTTTCTTCCAAAATCCATCAGTTTTTTTGAAAAATCGATTTTTCGAAAAAAATGCACCTTTTTAACTCAAAAACGTTTAAAAACATCCCCTCTTTTCGGAATCTGGATTTTCCAAAGGTTCTGAAAGGAAACGAGGGTCATTTTCGGCTGCAGCGGCAATAATTTAGTGGAGTCAACTCCACCTGTCGCCTAAGAAAAAATATTTTCCCTCCTTTCCGACGCAAATCAATCGGACTAGTGTTACATGCGTTACATGGGCGGAGAGGGGCACTTGTCCGGAAAAACCTCGATATTTGGAACAGAACGGAAACTTCAATAGGCATGCAATGTATGGTTTCCCATGTAATTTTAGCTGCTGAATCCGAAAATGACCTTATTTTTCCTCCATCATGCACAGATTTTCCGGAAAATTGGTTTTTCACCGGAAAAGCTCGATTTTTAAGGAAAATCCTGATTTTTCCGGGGGAAATCGACCAGACCTAGCATAACGGAGGTCATTTTCGGACTCAGCGCTAAAAACTACCCTAGTACAATCACACTTGAACCCGTGTTGACCAGTGTTACTTTAGATCTCTGGTCACTACCAAAATAGCGTAGTTTAAAAAGAGTGTATTTATATTGGATCGGTGAGGGAGGGGGGTTGAGGGGGGCTGGGGGGTTTAAGGTGGAGGATGGGGTGCATTTTACGTTATGTACTGCCCATTTATGAATAAATTGACCGATTAGAACTCTCAGTAAGGCCTGGGAAAATTTGCCAAAATTGACGAAAAAATGCGAAAATTAGCCAAATTTGGCAACTTTAAAGGCCCGTCGCAACCTCTAAATGTTGACCAAATGCAAAACTGTTCTACAACGTTTGTTTTTACACTAGTAGGAACGTTTTGGCGGGGTCCCCTGTCAATTTTAAAATTCATCATTTTTAGCAGTGCAGAGTTTATACAAGGTGACCGCGACCACCCGAGCCGGGCTTTTTTCTCGGTTATTTTTTGTCAGTTTATGTTTTTTGCCAACGTACGGAGCCGCTCATCAGTTCAATATTCAATCGATAAATTTTCAAATGATGGCATGAATTTCTGCAAAGAAATACTTGTGGTATTAAAAATTCTGTGGTATGCACGGAACTGAGGTTGTCCGTCATTTTTCTGACTCTTAAAATTTAGCCTTTTCAAAATATCAAAAAAGGAGAAAAAAATCAGTAAATAAAGTACTATTTGAATTGCCAAAAATCTGTCACCAAATGAGCGAAATAACACGGAGGGACATTTTCTATTGGATCAATAGAAATTCTAATCAATAATTCCTGAGCAAAAATATTTGCTCAGTGAACAGGAAATTCCCTTGTTTCTAATGGTGTCTCTGTTATTTCAAAGAGACGTCCTCTCACTTAAAAGAGATTTTCGGTTGACGTAACGAGAATTCTCATCCGAAAATCATTCATTTTTTTTAAATGTGTCGATGTACAACATTTTAACAATTATTAACTGGAATGTTTTTCTAAGTAAGAGATATATTAGCACTTACAGCAAAATACATTTCAGAGATCTCAGCGGTGACTTGCTTCATCGAAATTATTCCTGCCTCAAAATTATCCAATAAAATGTCCAAAAATGACCGGCAATTTTCTGAAAGTAGGAGAAAATTGCAAGTGGTTAAATCGAATTCTAAATCACAAACAGTATCGTCCAATTTAAATTCATTTACTTTTTCACTTTCTCTTAATATATTTTAAACGACTCTATATTGAAAGTTCTGAGCCCTGTATCTTCATTTTGGGTCGTCATCAAAATTGATTTAGGAATGCTCTCAAAGATGCAGTCATTTATTAAAAATTACTTTTGAAAGAAATACCTTCAGACTCGGTTGCTACCGCACCTTCTCTTCGCGCTTTCATCCTCTGTTCAATCCCCTGTAAACATAATAGTAGAAATTACTTTTACATTGATGCATCGTTTCTACTGAAAAGAGTCTCAACACTGCAACAAGACAGAAATTATCACAATACCTTAAAATTTATATTATGAGTGAAATTAGAAACTGACATTGAACAAACAATCGGGGCTTTTCAACGATAGAAATTAGGCACCAGCACCACAGCAAATGTTCCGTCATCAAAACGCTACGCAGAATACAATGAACATACCAAAAATTTTCAAATTTATCTCATATCTAAGAAATCAATGTACCATACCCGTTGGGCAAATTAAGCATTGAAATCAACATATACATCAAGCAAACAAATAGAGCTTGATTTCACACATATGTTATCCTTCCTCTGATGCAAGCAAAATTTTAACTTTATTAAAAAAAATTGTTCTCCGGAAAATTCTTCCGTTCTAAAATATACCGAAATTTCTTTAGTACTCGATTTAAGTCCGTACAAAAACTTTTGTTTTTCTATGATTGGGAAGTGTGAAACTCTATACCTGACAACCACAAGTTGTTTGCAAACAAAATACCATAAAAAAACTACTTGCATTTTCTATCTCTCTCTTTTCCTCGCGAACGTATTTGTAGATTTATCAGAGACATGTAAAACAATTTATCATTAAGAAAATACAAAAATTTACCATTTTGACAAAATCCAGTCCTGGGTTGTACGTTCTTCTAAACGATGTCTGTTGCCCGGAAAGAAGATATGTAAAGTCCGGCCAAAATATTGGTTGAAACGCCCTCTCGAACATCATTTCTATGGCCCTGCGTAGAATGAAAAGTTATGAACACCAATTACACTACACATATTACGTACTTATGCAATCATTCATGGGAAAGAAACTTTAGTCCAAGGAAATGAACTTTTAATGAGAGCAATTCCAAGTTTAGCCCAAAGTTTGTTTTGTTTTTTTTTTTTTTTTGATGGATAGGTCTCTCTGTTATCCCCAGGATGTGTTGCAAAAAGGTCGAGTTCACTTTTGAGTGACACGGAGGGTCCAGAAGTATGCGTTTTTAGCCGATGATTATGCGATTAAAAAAAGCGCACTTAATCCTTAATCTACAGGTATAATTACCTTCCAGCTATGCGTTTTTTGTGCTGCAAATAAACCGTCAAAGCTTCAGTTGTGTTTTGACACTATGCCGTTCTGAGGAAAAACATCGTGTAAATCTTCATTTGTTATTGCCACATTTCCGTCAATAAAAAACACATTTACTCAATAAGTTCTGGATATTTTTCTTCCAGCTTCTCAGAATAGTTATTTCGTGATTTAATTTATCATGTCTCTAAATTTTAAGGAAATACATTCATAACTTCCTTCAAACAAAACAATTTTCTAAGAGGGAATTTGGTAACATTCGAATTATCATACGGCGTTTTTCCTTGAAGAGACAACATGGTTGTATTAAAATATTTGTGGAAAATTTTTTGAATTTGAGTTTTTCGATGTAAATTGAGGCCCATTCCCCATAACGTAAGGCGCAATTGTCAAAACGTAGTAATAAAACACACTCAAGCGGAGCGGCAGTTTGATCCATCCCTAGAGTATTTAAGAGTTGCAAGAACGAAAAGCATTTCTTGGAGGATCATTTTTTCCGGTGCCCTCTTGTACTAATATCGAGCAATTAAACTGTTAGATTCTTAAATCATATACTTTGGGGAATTTGGTCCCGATGAGAAACTCATCTAATTCATGCTTATTAAACTCGTTTTTTGTTTATGCTTTAATGAAAAATTGATTTCAAGCGTTGATAAGGTGATCGATTCTCAAAATACTAATATCAAACACTTCAGTCAGGCGAGAAGAGACATAGATTCTTGGACTGACAAAAAACGAGGAAAGGAAATGAAATGTATTTTTTCTTACCTACTCATGGCAATGGACAGATACTCAAGATTATTTTTCTGAACGTCCATCTTACAGCCAATCATGTTATCTGCAAATAAGGCAATAATTGGAATATTTCATTCACCAAATTATATTCTAATTTGAGTAAACTCACTCCACGATTTCCTGCGTGTGATACTTTGATATTCTCGGCATTCATATTTACCCAAGCTTACGGTGAGACAATAAGGTTTGCTCCCTTTTTCTCATACTATTGAAAGTATACCGATGCAGAAAAAGGCTTAAAAAGAAATAAATGCATCGAAAATACAAGTATGTAAGAGAACAGGGGAGGAATTGATGAATAGAGGAAATTGGAGGGTTTGTTATTATGTTCCATTTGAATGTTGGATAGTGTAAACACGGTAAAAATACACTGATCTGCCCAGAGGTGCAGCGAAAAGAAAATTTCGACGGCGTAAGTCCGCAATCACATATCTCGTTTACGGTGTCTGAAAATCTCCGCCTCTATGTATTTTTTTTAATGGAGAACAACAAATTGACATCATTCCTTAAAGTTTATGCAGAATTTTCTTCGCACAGAGAAGAAAAATCACAACAGTTTTAAAGAATTGCCGTTGAGTAGTTTTCCGTTTAAAAAATAAAATATGACGGGAAGTCTGCGATGTCGCAAACAGAGTTATGTAATTGCCGTCGATTTTTTATTTTTAATTGCATTCATTTTAGGTGTACATTTGAGTTAACTTATGAGCCTGTGTCACCAGAAAAAGTTTGGTTGGAAACGGAATGCCTACACCTTCCCCACAAATGGTATTGTAGGTATAACATACGTATGAATTTAGCCAGACATACAGCTAACATACAGCGTACACAGTAAACATATAAAACATACCGCTGCATTTTCAACGACTCCACGTTGGTTTTGCAAAACTTACCACAAACTAAATCAAGTGTGCATAAATGAACAGGCAGATGTATGTCAAATTCTTCTCCCGTAGCGTGCTTATCAAGTTTATTCAAGAATTCATTGGTGCGGCATTGAAAATTTCTCTCAAAAACCTTGAAGTTGCTGATACAGAACGTCGGGTTAACAAGTTTTCTCATGTTCCTCCATTCATCTCCTGCAATGCGGAAGAAAATTTTAACAGTTTTAGCCTTAATTTTTTTCAAAATTTTTGGTCATTCTCATTTGAAAAATCAATTCAGATCCGTTTGACATCAGACTGGGGTGATTTGGGCTTGCTTTAAAATTGGTGGAAACAAAATGGTTTGTAGCCTGAAGTCCTCTACTAAGATACTTTCTTTGAATCGATATGAAAGAGGTATTATACCTCTTTCAATGAAGTGGATTGAGGTTTTTATTTGGTAATAGGAAGATTCAAAGGATCCTTCATTAAGAAAAGACTGTGATAGATATCATTATCAGTGGTATTCCATGTGAATGTTTAACATGAAATAGTGATAACTTTACCATTACATCAGTAAATATATCACAGAATGTTGAAAATGCCACCATTATTTGTTGAGTCTGCAATAAATTAAGAGTCAAATTGAGCTACCTACCAAAAATCTGATGATTCTGACAATGATTATTTCTCTTTGTCATGCACAAGTCAAAGCAGTGTCTCTCTCATAAATGAAGGGCTTCGAGGACAAGGCGTATAAGTGCAGTTTTCGAGAAAGTTGAGATATTAATGGTTTTAAGTAAAACTAGTCTTAATGCACGTGCTGTGAAAAATGCGCTCCCAAATTCCAATTACTAACCGTCAAAAAGACAGTTTTAACTTTCTTTCCACCATGAGGATCCAAGTAATTTCAAAATTTCAAACACGTAAATCTCGAAATAGCAAAAACTACACTTATGCACCTTGTCCTCAGAGCCTCTCAAATATGATTTCAATTTTGAGTACACGATTGCAACAGCAAAATTCTGCTCGTTAAAGTTTAAATTCAGACAAGTAGATAGTATTTCAACTCATATGGCTGAATTTGGAATAACCGAATTCATAAGACTAACTTTTGAAGATATTTGTAAGCATCTGACCTACTATACCTAGACTAAGTTACTCTGAGACCGTGCCTGGCGGAGCTCATCTCTCTGAAAAAAAATTATTTAAAACAATATCGAACTACATTCAAACGTACCTTGAGCAGAAACAATCGCAGGATACTCAGTTTTTATACATTTATGATGACTGAATTTATCAGTATTTTTGGCGCTTGCCAGGATTGCCTGCAAATATGGGTAAAATAAAATTATATTTATTCTTCTGTTGCGAGATTTTAATTTCGTCCAGTCATCTAAAGCCATTTATTGTGCACACTTCAAAAGTGTGCGTATTTTGTTATTCGGTGTGTCGTATCATTCTACTAGATCAGGATTAATTTATCACGATTAATTGAGTCGATCATAATTTTTATTTAATTTTTTTTTCACTCATTTTCATGAAATTGATATCTTTCAGATCATTAGTTAACTCATCAAATGAAACCATCAATAACGCGTCTTATCAACACTTTACACATGAGTTTATTTTCCTATTCTTTCTTTTTGACATGAACGCTCGAACTAAAGTGATCACATCAACTCACGATTACGCTTTGCTACATATATAATTATGCTAAGTATGGTGTAATTACTTGATCATACAAAAAGTAATCTGGACGCTTTTTCATCACGAATGAATTATTACATTAAATTTGCTGCGCTTTAAAAACCTCAAAAATCCAAATAAATCGTCGTTTGTCAGTCAAAAGAACTTAACTCTATTCTAAAGTTGCGAAATTGACTCAAAGAAATCCTTTTTTAACGGTGTTTTTAAATAATTTTTTCAAAAATTGTTCTGATTTATGCTTGAGATCCAAAGAGAAATCAGAGAAATTTTCAGTTCGAAACGCTCAAGATTCTCATGGTAAAACTGCAATTTATGAGATAAAATTTGGCAACATTGAAATGTCGCTACGTTCTTTCGTGAGGTTAAAGATGAAACGAGCGCAAAATATGGAGATGCAAGTCTTCGTGCTCTCATGTAGCACAAGGTGTTAAACATAAGAAATATCGGTCAAGGTATGCACAATATACTTTATACCTCAATTTATGTATGAATTATTACTGGCCAAATTCAGAATAAATCACCTTATGAAAGAAACGAATGAATCATTAGTTTTACTTTTTATTTCAATATTAAGGGACTCAAACATAAATTGTTTTTAAGTTGTTTTTCAGTGTTGACGTAGAGTATATGAAAAACATGGTGGCATGCACTCACACTAATGGCCTCCGGATCGCTTGTTAAAACATGAGGAATTTCACACATCCATATGGAAAAATTTCTCGGATAGTCCTTACACAAATTTTTCAAATGACGGCAAGCATCTGAAAGTAAATCATAAGTGGTTTCAATATCGTTTAAAAATACCAAAAAATAATGGTTGCAAAATAAATGTTTTAAATAAAAATCTTTATACTAACAAAAAAGCGGAATTCTCAGCCATTTGAATTTTTTCAAACTATTTTAATTTTAAATATCTTTTCCTCCTCCAAATAGACCAAAAAAAGATTTTACAACACGATTGTGAGTATAGTACACTGGAAAAAAAACACATTGAGTCTAGTGTGCAGACTCTTGAAAACATTGACAAGAATAAATACTCTTGATTCAATCAGATTTAAGCTTAAATCAAAAGGAAATCCGCTCAAATTAAGAGGCTTGGTTCTTGATTTAAGCAAAAATCCGATTGAATCAAGAATATTTTTTCTTGTCAATCTTTTTAAGAATCTGGACTCTAGATCCAATGTGTTTTTTTTTTTTTTTTCCAGTGTAACGCGTAGACAGTATGGGAGAGTGTCGCGATAGCTTCCGGATTTTCAAAGCCCCTTGCTTCGTGGGCAATTTTTCTCACGGTCCGTGAAGAAAAATTGCCTACAAGGAGCTTTTGAAAATTTGAATCTTTTTCAAAGCTCTGTCGCGTCTAAATGACGCGTCTGGAAAATTGTGTGCAGTACTTCGCCCATGATTTTTTGCGCTCTTTCACGTGCTGTAATCCGTTTTTCCAAAAATCATCTATCAAAAAAGTTATCAAAATTTTAAAATTCGGGAACGCTCGAAACGTCATTTTCCGAAGACTTACGTCCTTGAAATCACAAAAAATGAACAGTGCGATAAAAAATAAACTCTTATCACTGAAAAAATTGTGCTTGGCTCAAGCATGATGATTCTTGAAATTGCTGCCAAGAGTTTTTTTTATTTTGATTCAGTTTAATGAAATTTTTGTATAAAAACTGAATTTCAGTGTAAGAATTTTTTTTATTTTGATTTAAGCTGAATTTTTCTTGATACAGAGAAAATAAGGTTTGGATTAAGCAAAACAAGTAGTTTATATTAAGCAGCAAAATTCTTGATTTAAGGAAAAATACTTTTTGGCGGCAAATTTAAGATTCTTTTTTTTTTTCAGTGTACACAAAGTTTCAGCTACTTACGACAAAATGACGAGGAGTTGCATCAATTTGAAACAAAAATAATGGCAACTTTGGAAGCGTATAGTTTCCTTATAAAGCGTTTTTGGGCATTATATGTAATAGGACAAAACAGTCGTATTTTGAGCCCAAAAATCGATTCTGAAAGTTAAGTACGCGAACTTCCGGACACCTTGTATGTTTTCTTTCAAGTCAAATACTGAATTCAAAATTATATATACTTACTAGTAGTGTTAATTCCCACAATGCAATGTACTGCGCCGAGGAAAGGAAGACCCGTAGGTCCAGGCAATGCAGCCATGAAGGCGAAAATTCGTTGATTTCGCAGTCGTTGCATCAGTGCTCTAAGTAGCAACGCACCAATCAAACAAGCCCATAGATTTCGAGTGAACTTAGATTGAACTGCTACCTGTGCTATTACCATGAGTGTGAAATGCGACCAAAGAAGTTGGAACACTGAAAATCGTGATTCAAAACAAAAAGTTGATCATGGTTTTTTTTTCAATTAATTCTAAATGAAGAATTCTAATTATATTATAGTTAATTCAAAGCGACTACATTGTAGATGCTATTGTAACAAGTGGTGTCAGCTCGTAGGATTATTACAGTTTAAAATAAAATATTCGATTTTTCCTTTAAATAGAGAATTTGGAGATGTCTTAAATTTTGTGAAGTTCATCTTTAAAATGATGCTGCCAGGAAAACTGAGTACGAGGATATTCTTGGTTTCTAAATTGGACAATTATTGGAGAAATTATGACAAAATAACCTAATCTGCTAAAATACATGTGTTTAAATGGAAAATGCCGCCAGATGACGTCACAAGGCGATGCATTTTCTCATTTTCAAATCTATTTGTCTCCAATTTCCTATGTCAGAAAAAATTATGAAAAATACTGCGAACTCAACTCATTAGGCACTTTGAGATGAAGCAATACAATTTGTGTGTGAAAATTTTCCATTGTAGAGATAATGTAAGATTGCTTTTTTTAAGTGACACTATTTGAACATTTAATAACTATAATTACTCAGTAAAATGAAAATAGAGAGTTCTGTAGTTTTAAGGAGTAACTTAGGTTTCCATAATTTTAAGTGAAGTCATTCTCATAGTATTACATACAAAACCATATCGACGGTGAAACTACCAAACCACGTATCTCGGTTTGCGACGTCGCAGACTTCCTGTCATACTTTATTTTTTAAATGAAAAACTACTTAACGTCCAGTCTTGAAAATTTCTGTGATTTTTCCTCTTCGTGCGGAAAAAATTCTGTGAAAATTTCAAGGAATGATATTGATTTGGTCTACTTCAAAAAAATAAAATGTGAGCGTAGATTTTTAAACACCGCAAACGAGATACGTGGTTTGGTAGTTTCACCGTCGATATGCTTGTCGGAACTCACTGAGATCCACCTTTTAAAACTCATTCAGAATTATCCGTATACTTGCAGCGAGTCAGTTGCTGAATAATTATCGATTGACCTTGATTTGCACGATGAATCTCTATGTGTTGTACTTTCCACATAGGTACATTATACATACGTGCGTTGTTCATAGTTGACTGTTTTTTTTTTAAAGCACAATATGTATGTTTACGATATGTGCTGAGCCCTTTAAATATAAATATCCTCACATGTAAAAATGTTTAAAGATAATGTTAAACATATTCGATCGTCTTTTAGTGAGCCTCCATCTGCAGACTACAAATGAGGGGCTTGGAGGACAAGGCGCTTAAGTACAGGTTTTGCTATTTCGAGAAATAGGTGATTGCAGTTTCGATATTACTTAGATCCTTATGGCGGAAAGAAAGTTTAAACTGAATGTTTGATGAGTAAAAATTTGAATTTGGGGGTGAAATGTTCACAGAATATGTATTAAGACTAGTTTTACTTGGTATCATTAATGCCTCAATGTTTTAAAAAACTGCACTCATGCACCTTGTCCTCCAATCCCTTCAAATGAGATCGATGAGGTGATGACTATCAATACCGACATACGAGAATGCACTTTCATGTTCTTAACCTTGCGTTGAAGTCTTCTTGTATTCCAATTGGACGTATTTCTATCAAACGGAACTATGTGCATTGAGACATGAGCCCTGAGACTCATAAGAATATGCGCATAACAGGGCTCACGTCATAATGCACACAATTCTGTTTGATAGAAATACGTCCAATTCAGTAACCGACGCAAATTAGGTAATTTTTTTGCTGATAGGGTAAAGTCAAATAACTTTTCAGTGTTTTGTATTCCAGTGGTCTTCAACAGTGGCGTGGCGTGAATTGCGATGTATCGATAGTTATATGCTATTTAAACCTATTGTAAAGAATCGAATATTAATGTGTTCGCTGCGAACACCCTGTTCATCGATCCTTCTCCATAGCTTTACATGACAGATCAATCGATATATCGCAAAGCACGCTACGCCCCTGGTCCTCAACGAGTCCGTGCCGTACGAGTCGAGTAGATTTTTGTGTTAGGCATCATTTCTGCCGTGCTAAGGAAAAACGCCGTATGAACTCTCAGGCATTGCCAAATTTCCTTTGATAAAACACGAATTTCTTGGTAAACTTATGAATATTTTCTTTCCAATTTTTCAGATAAGTTAGCTCGCAATTGGGGACTTTGGCGGCTAGGGGTCGCAGAGCGCCAAAGAGCGCTATAAAAGCGACTTTATACATACATAGCTCGCAATTTCATCTAAAGCTCCTGAAAATTTCAAGGAAAGTTATTCATAACTTTCCTCAAAAATGAACATTTTATCGGAGGAAATTCGACAACTCTCGAATGTTCATACGGCGTTTTTCCTTAACACGACAGATTTGCCCGACGACGAGCTTCTGACAAGTTTAAATTTTCATACTATAGCTGAGTGTACTGAGCAATTCATCTTTCACTCTAATAGTCTGAAATAAAGACTTGTCCTATAAAGCATGAGCTAACCCTACAGATCAATCAAAGGAAGTGGAAATTGTGAATTGAAATTATAATAAGAGGACAATTTTTGCTTTTATATATGTACCACATTTGGATCTGATATTGACAAATGATGAAAAACAAATAAAACAATTTTCCCCATACTAAATCCATGGATATTAATCTGCGAGGTTAATGGCACGGACAGTTACGCTGATTTGCGCCTTAGAAAATGGCCCCACGTTACAGCTCAAGTAAAATACCAGATATATTCCCCACCAGTTGTGGCGCCTCACAGTAAATCGAGTGAGTCAGAGAGGTCGGACAGGAAATTTTTTATTACAACTGCAAATTTTGATGTTTAATATGTCACATTTTAAATTTTAAGGTAGCAAAAGAATGACATTTTACGAGGAAACCAACGGATCCGCACTTTTAAAACCTCAAAGTTTTGTATGTACGGAGTTATGAGCTTTTAAATTTTCCAAACTTTGTCCGATCTCCCCCATTGACTCGATCCACTGTGCGCCACATAAGCGCAACCGTATTTTCCCTAAATGCTATTTTGGTGTTAAAATCTGAAGTGCGAGGAAGTGGGTACGGAGGGAAAACGGTGTAACCTTACACTAATTAAAAATAAATAGTCACTGATTCTATCAGATAAACACGAGACTCAGAAAATAATATTATGAGAAGATAAAACCCTTTTTCTTCATTTAAATTATCGTCTCAATGTGATATGGATCCACCCTTTCTTATATCTTTTATTATGTTTTCAATAAAAGCTCTTACTTGTCACGGGAAGAGGAACTCAATAAACACACGAAAACTGTAACAGAAAACCGAAAATAATCAACAAGCACTGTTTTACGAACACTAGCAGTTCATGAAAACTGTCACTGAATAACTATTCTAATATTAAAATAACATAGAGTGAAAAGTACTCAAAATTCTTCATTCTTTAGTCGACAGTTTAA